TTAATATAAAGGTTAGCTTCCCTGCATAGACTCACACAGGAAAGCCCTATTCAGACTCCATTCCAGGTTTTAATTATAACCAAAGCCCTGAAGAAGGGGGAAGGTCTTCTGATGTCTGAAACATGTTGACTGTTTTTTAGTGTAAACCAATACATTTGTTTGCACTCCTTTATCATTTGGTCTGGTGCTCCTTCCATTGGTGCATTTTTTTCTAGTACTGTGGAAAAATTGGATTTTTTTGTACATACCTGTAAAATCCATTTCTTGGAGTACATCATGAACACAGAGCAGTCTATTCATGACTATGGGGGTTATATGCCACCTATAGGTGAATGGACACTGGCAGATCAATCAAACAGGAAGTCCTTCCCTATATAAACCCTCCTACACAGGAAGTACTTCAGTTTTGGTAGCAAGCAATGAAAATTCCAGAAAGAGGGGAGGGACGTCTGTGTCCCGTGACATACTCCAAGAAATGGATTTTAAAGGTACGTATGTAGAAAAAAATCTAATATTCTTTATTGTACATCATGTCCTAAAGCAATGAAAACTTTGAGGATGTGATACCATAATAACCACCACCATCAATCTCAAAGGTCCTACTGAGCCATACGTGACAAGCTACGGCCAAAGGCAAAATCTTCCATGGTAAAACTAGATCCACCTGGTAAAACCTTGTGAATGTATGAACCAAAGGCCTAGCAAACCTGAGCCATTGATGCCTGATGTCAGATAGCCCAAGATGCCCCCACGCTCCTGGTAGAGTGAGCTCTCACCCAAAAAGGTGGGACCTTATCCTTCAAACCATAGGCCTGATTGACTGACTGGTGTATCAAATGAGAAATAGTTGATGTGAAAGCTGCCTGTCCGTTCTGGGGCCTTCTGGCACCACCAACCAGGATTCCTGAACTGTGCTGCCAAACTCAAGTAAATCCTGACAACCCGAACTACTTTCAGAGTATGCAGTGATCTTTCCCCTGCCAACTGTGAACTAGGAAAAAAGAAAGGCAAGACATTATCCTTATTCAAGTGAAAACTAGAAACCAGTCTACAGTAGGTAAGAAGATGGATGAGGATGCAATAATCACCTTATCATGATGCAAGACCAAGAATGGCTCCTTACAAGACACTTTGAACTCTTCCTGCCAAAGTGATAGTAATCTAAAAAGCCATCTTTCGAATCAAAGGATTACGTTTCTTTAATTGGTTCAAAAGGTGGCTTCTGCATGGACAGCCAAGACCAAGTTCAAGTCCCATGGACACAAGGGGGGCCTGACAGACGGGACCATCCGTGTTACACCCTGCACGAAGTACGAATCAAGGAGTAAAAAAAACAACAGTCTCTGGGAAAAAAAATGGATAGAGCTGAAATATGACCTTTAACGGTACTTAAGGTCAATTTAATGCAGTTTATGCAAGTATGCATTTAAGTATGTATGAACGTATGCAGTGTATGCATTGAAGTATGCATGTACATATGCAGTGTATGCATTGAAGTATGCATGTACATATGCAGTGTATGCATTGAAGTATGCATGTACATATGCAGTGTATGCGGTCAAACCCACCTTCTGGTAAGAGGCCAATTCTTTTGGGTGGAAGGTGATGGTATTCTTTCTGCATCAGGCTTTTTTCTTTATGCACCAGCTTCTGCCTTCATATGTGGATCCCATATGGACTTTGCTGCCACTTGTGTACATTTATTATTACTTTTTTTTTGCTATTAAGATGCATGTATAGATAGCAGGTAAAGATGGGGGCTTTGAAGTATGACGGAGCACAGGTGATTTTTTTTGTGTGTGTGTGGGGGGGGTTAAAGTACCTCTGGCCACCAATGCTTGTAGAATTGCTTTTCAAAGATGATGGTGGTGGGTGGAAGGGAGGGTCAGGAGGTTACTGCATGCAATGCCCACCACTGCAACACTGTGATTTGAACTGACACAATATTAAACAAAGGAAACATGCCATGTCTGTGTGTCTGGACTGCACTAGGCAAGGCTGCCTAAATGTATGAACAGGCCCTTAAAGTGTCATTCTACTTCTGCTGATCAATATAATCCTCTCTAAGCCAATTAGACCGATCTACCATTACCTTATGACCACTGACACAGCAGTGGCATATCATCCATGGGTGCAAGGTGTTCACTGAACACAGGCCCGGGAGGAGGTGGCACTGTGCTCTGACCCACACTGCACCCATGGATGGTCCGTCCCTGGTTGGTGCCTCCTGCAGGACACTTTTGACAGTTGTGGTGATTGGCGCGGCGATGGGGGGCAGTTAAAAACACTGATCACCCTGTATGGCTTTCATTGAAGCAGTTGAAAGCTTCTCCTCTTCATTCAGTGGATTTTAGCTGCTTCACTGAAACCAATACAGGGAGATCAGTGCTTGTAACTGCCCCCAATGCTGCACCCATCACCACCGACTGTCCACCACATTTATCTTCCTTTCTGGGCCCCCTCATCCCTCTGCAACACTGACAGCTTCCCTCCTCTCCTCTCCCACTGGCTCCTGCGGTGCATGTGTCAGGATGGAGAACAGAGGAAGGGGCCGGTAAATATATAATTTATTGTTCCCTTCCTTTTCTAAATGAGTCAGTAATCGGCACCGACTCTGTCCATTCATAACTTAAGCATTGTAAATGGGAAACCGAAGATAAAATGTCTTTATTCCAGATAACAATACACAGGATGCAGGGAAATAGTTGACCGGTTTCACACGATTTCAGTGCCTATTCAGATGAATTATGAATATGCACTGAAATTGTGTGAAACCGGGCAACCATTTCCCTGTATCCTGTGTATTGTCAACTGTAAAAAAGACATTTTATTAAAAAGTAATTAAAACATTAAATTTTAAAACATAATAGAAAATTAAATTAAAGAAAAAAAAAATACTGACAATGTCCACTGCCCCCCTTCCCAAAGCACTGTGAAAAAAATTATTTAAAAAAATGTAAAAATAAAATGAATACATTTGTCAAACAAAACAACCTAATAATAATTAACTACTGACACCGTCTACTACCCTCCTGGCACATACTACCCAACACCATAAACTCCGCACTCCTCTCCTGCACATAATACGCACTGCCATGCACTCCACTCCTCTCCTGCACATAGTACGCACTGCCATACACTCCACTCCTCTCCTGCACATAATACGCACTGCCATACACTCCACTCCTCTCCTGCACATAATACGCACTGCCATGCACTCCACTCCTCTGCTGCACATACTACCCACCGCTATGCACTCCACTCCTCTCCTGCACATAATACGCACTGCCATACACTCCACTCCTCTCCTGCACATAATACGCACTGCCATACACTCCACTCCTCTCCTGCACATAATACGCACTGCCATGCACTCCACTCCTCTGCTGCACATACTACCCACCGCTATGCACTCCACTCCTCTCCTGCACATAATACGCACTGCCATGCACTCCACTCCTCTGCTGCACATACTACCCACCGCTATGCACTCCTCACTGTATATTCCCTATTTAACATTACCTCATTCTGCACTATGTACGGTAAGTCATCTCAGACTCTATTTAACCACATGCTCCTTAAACCACACCCATTATTTAGTGCAAATTAAACCATGCCCACGTTTCATTGTGGCACGCTCTGCATGCCACATTTTATTTTTCCTTACATCTTCCAGAGTGGTCCCTTACATCCTCCAGAGTAGCCCCTTTGTAGTACTAAGGGGGCACTTGGAGGATAAAAGAGGGCACTCTGGAGGATCTAAGGGGGCACTAAGGCAGTACTTAGTACTTCCAGGGTGTCCTCTAGATCCTCCAGAGTGTCTCCTTCGATCCTTTAGAGTGCCCCCTTACATTCTCCAGAGGGGCCCATTAAGTCAATCAGAGTGCCCCCTTAGTAGTACTAAAAGGGCACTTGGAGGATGAAATGGGGCATTCTGGAAGGCTCTAAGGGGGCACTCTAGTGGTACTAACTTAGTACCTCCAGAGTGCCCCCTTAGATCCTTCAGAGTGCCCCCTTAGTACTACTGTACTAAGGGGGCACTCTGAAGGAGGGGCACTCTCTAGTCTCTCTGTGCCACAGACATTCACCCTCCTAGCTCCTAGTCTATGTTCCTATGACAACTATACCTCTAGATGACTGTGTCTCCTTGTTGGCATCACTTCCTGCAGCAGGTGTCCTCCATCTTTGTAGTGGAGTGCAGGGAGGAGTTCTACACATACATCAGCCTGAGCCCCAGGACCGGACGCCATGTCCTCCTCCACCATTCAAGTGAGCCTGGCACCCTCTGCCGCTATCTTTCCAGCTGGGGATCAGGGCTCCCACACACTGCCACTGCTGAACCCACCTCTGCCACCTAAGCAGCAGCAGCAGCAGCAGCAGCAGTGAGGCAGTTTTGAGCCAACACTACAGCACAGTCATATGTTAAATGGGCACTCTTCTCCTTTAGTGGGCATATACGCACAGGAGAAAGGGGCCTAGTGTTTACAACACAGAGTGGTCCCCTTCCTGCTGTCTTGCCCCCCCCCCCCCTTCCCACAGTGGCGGAATGCCAGGGCCTGGTCGCAAATGCAACCTTTACGACCCTGGTAGTTTCATCACTGATATCCTGCTGTCACAAGATATCCTGCTCCCCACACAGCACACTCTGGAGCTGAAATCCATTTCCCTTACACACAGACACGATCTGAAGAGTGTACAGCTGGCTACTGTGTTTAGTTCTGACCTGTGAAAATCTAACATCAGAATGGCCAGTAGCTGTGTGTAAGGGAACCAGATGGGAAGAAGGAGGTCTTAGTGCTGTGCTCAAGCTGTATAACCGTGCGGGGATTGGAGACTGCTGGCAAGACATCAGGAGTGGTGGAGGGCCACAATCTCATCATTGCTGCTGCTTATGTGGGTGGGATGTGTTCTGCCTTCCTTTTCTATTCATCCCACGTGATCGGAGCAGTACACATCCCGTCCACACAAGCAGCAAATGCCCTGCCTTGTTGGGTTCTCCCCAGGGGTGGACTGACACCTCATGTGGCCCCCCGGGCAATAGAGGATCATGGGGCCCTGTGTTCTTGCCCAAACTCAATAAAGCCTATGAAAAAGGTACCAGGGGCATCTCATGGGGCCCCCTACTGACCCCCCGGCCTTCTGGCAGTGCCCAAGTTTCCAAATGGTCAGTCCGCCCCTGGTTCTCCCTTAGCCTCTGCAAAGTGCCAGAGGAGCTGGACCACTGAGCAATGGAAGAAGGTGGCCTAGTCTGATGAATCACATTTTATTTTAAATCATGTGGACGACTGTGTGTGTGTGTCACTTACCTGGAGAAGAGATGGCACCAGGATGCAGTATGGGATGAAGGCAAGCCTGCGAAAGCATTGTGATGCTTTGGGCAATGTCTGCCAAGAAACCTTGGGTCCTGCCATTCACATGAATGTTACTTGAATTGTACTACCTACCTACCTACCATTTCTATGAAGTACACCCCTTCATAGAAATGGTAAACCCTGATGGCAGTGGCCTCTTTCAGCAGGATATTGTGCCCTGCCATACTGCAAAAAATGGTTCAAGAATGGTTTGAGAATGGATTTCAGCCTTTGAGCTGCATATGATATATATAGTGACCAGTACCATTTCAACTCTCTTTACAGGGGATCATGGTGCCTTACTGTATTGGTATATCCAGAGATCTAATTAGCACAGACATCTGGATATGATTTCTTTTCATATACACTATATAAATCAAACGTTTGTGGATCCCTGATAATCTCACATACTACAGTATATGGCAAAAATGATGTAACACCCCCTCCTAATTATTGATTGCCGGTGTTTCCAAAGAAGATTCTTGATAATGTTACAGCATACAAAGAAATATTAAACAACTGTGTGCTTCCAACCTTGTGATGACAGTTTTAGGATGTGACTGTGCCCAAAAGTCAGATCCAAAACGATATGGTTTGATGAGCTTGGTGTGGAGGAACCTGAGTTGCCTTCACATAGCCTTAACCTCAACCCTATTGAAAATCTTTGGGATATACTCAAATGCCTATTACGTGCCAGACCTTCTTGTTCAACATCAGTACTAGGCCTCACAAATGCTCTTTTTACTAAATAGGCAAAATGTCCACAGACACGCTTTCCAGTGGAATCTGCTATAGCCCCAAAGTGTTGCTCAGTTGTGTATCAATGCTCATGGTTTTGGAATGGCATATTTAGCAAACTCGTATATTGTAGGTGTGATGGTCAGGTGTCCACAAACATTTGATCACATGTGTATAATGAATAATGAGACAATTCGATCCATCATACAGTATCCATAACTGGTTATTTGAACAGCAATATCTTATAATAAGACTGAAATATTTCTGTGTCACCGCAATGTATGGTATATGTGTATTGTTTGTTACATTATTAAAGGCTAAGTTCACTTTTTTTTTTTTAAATAAAATCCAGCTCCCGTATGCACCAATATTCCATTAATGTACCTCAGTTGAAAAATATACAAGCGCTCTTTGATCTGGAGAGCAAGGCCTTACCTTAGCCCTTGGTTTCTTAGAAAGCCTTTTCAATTCCTGGAATGTAGACAGAGGACACAGAAGCCAGTAGGACCCCAGAAGCATATTACCAGCTGATCTTATTAGCACACACATCCTGTACTGACCTCATTAGTACACACCCTTCACCCATCAACTTCATCTGACTGAGGTTGCATCCATCTAGGTAAGTATAAATGTTTTTTTTTTTTATTTCTGAACTTCTCTTTTAATATAAATTATATGATTTAAAAAAAGAATGGTTTTAGGAACACAACAGCAAGTTTGAGGTGTTGACTTGACCTCCAAATTCTCCAAACTCAATCCATTGAGCATCTGTGGGATGTGCTGAAAAAACAAGTCTTATCCATGGAGGCCCCATCTTGCAACTTCCAGGGCTTAAAGGATCTGTTACTGACAACTTTGTGGCTGCAATGCAAAAAAAGAAAAAAAAAGAATAAAGACTATGTAAACCCAACATATTTCAAATCATATTCCTAATATGTGCCTGCTGTACCATGTACTTGTATGTAAAAGTATCCTGTTCTCTTTGTATTGCTTCCTTTGTGTGAAATACCTAGTGTTCCTGCCAGTCCCTCTGCTTTCCTATTAATGACTGACCACACTAGGCATGAGAGCACAGTGTGGTCAGTTTTCTGGCTGTGCTGGGAGCTAATCCAACGATCAGGCTTGTGCTGATATGCCTGCTCCCTGCACAGCCACTCAAAGGTAAGATCAGTGTACAGCTGTTTCTCATCCCCCAGCTCTTAAAGCAGAGCTCCACCCAAAAGGGGAAGTTCTGCTTTAAGGACTGGTCCCCAGCTCCCCATTAAGGATTGGCACCTATAGAGAGAGCGGGGGGGGAGCGGGTACCTAAAATTGACAGGTACCTACTCCCACTTCCTCTGTGATCGGAAGCGGAAGTTAACCCCACCCCCCCGTAGTTTTCTGTGACAGGTCCCAGAAGACTACAGGACCATCCATAAAGCGCAGCGTTACGCATGCGCAGAGAGCACCCGCTGTGTGAAGCTGCAAGCTATCACAGCCAGGTGCCCATACTGAAGATTCTGGCACCGGGAACACAGGGCGGCTGGTGAAACAGGCTGCGGGGGGGGAGGGGGGAGACACACACCATGGCATCGAGGGACAGGTAAGTGTCCGTTTTTTTTAAAAGTCAGCAGCTACAGTTTTTGTTGAGAAAAAAATGTTTTTTCTATTTTCACTGGAAGTCCACTTTAAGCAGCTGAGTACAGAGGGTATGTGATCACTTATAAATAAAAGGCCAAAAAAAAGTATTTATAATGCTTTTTTTTTCCTTATTTATTTATAATTTTTTATATGTGCAGTATATACAAATGTTTTGCTTTTCATTTCTGAATGGGTTGTTTTACAAGGTGAGGGAATACACATACTTTTAGCCTGGGTTCACATATATGAAGTGTGGTACATTGCATTCCTGTGCAAATCACATGCGATTTGTGTGCGGTGCGATTGGAGCCATACATTTTGTATGGCTCTAATCGCACCACACCCGCACCAAAAACTTGGAGGACCCTTCTTTTGATCCGCACTAAAATCGGATCGCATGGGTATTCACACCTATACGATCCAATTCTGCACATCACACTGCGTTTTATGGACCGCTTTCAGGGTGTTGTTAACTTAACATACACACCCGCATACACGTTCGCATGAACGGGGTGCGATTCTGATGCGAATTCGAACTGAAAACGCTGCAAATTCCACACCGCATCAGTGTGAACCCGGGCTTAAGAAGTTCTTTTTTTTTTTTTCACAAAAAGTAGAATGTGCTTTACAAAAGATGCCTTTTTTCCAGTAGAGTGTAGACACTGAATGTTTTCAACCACTTAACCTGCAGTTTGATGAATACCCCCAGGGCTGATGAGCACATATTTACATCCCTGCATAGTCGAGCGCTAAAACAATCAAAACAAGTATTGTACACACTGAATTTATAGGTCTGCGCTAACTTTTGGAACATTCTCGGAGCAAAATGTCTTCTGGCCAAGACTTGTGTACACAGCTATAATTATTTCTATATTTAGGGCAACATAGTTCCTTGAGCCTGATTATAGACTTTAACCTCCAGTTTATAAATATATTTTAGTTTTGGCATCTGGCATCACTATGTACAATGGAACCTTCTGTAACTTTACAAATCTGCAAGAATAAATTCCTGATATGTCAAAATATAAAGCAACAGTATAATTTTTCAAAAAAACCTTAAAAAAGCTGTCCTTGCGTTCCAGTCTATTGCCTAGGCTGAGATGATGTCATCAGTCTGCTACTGGAGGGAGAAAGCATTTCTTCAGTCTCCTCTACTCCAGTGATCAGACTGACACATTGTAACTTTGCAGAAAGTCACAAGGAGAAGGGCTGATCTGTGTCAGATATTTGTGAACACCAGGATTTACATGATTGTTTCATCTCTGTGTTGGCATCTGACGCCAGGGTGACCCTGCATAATGCCTAAACAAAGATGATCCCATTTTTCAGGAGAGAAAACCTAGGTGGAGTACTGTGACCTCTGTGAGAGGTAAAATACACATTTCTAAGCATGCTCTTAACATGAAAACACGTGTCTGATGCTTGTCCACGTTAAGGCTCATTCACACTACTGTGATGCGTTATTAACGTGCATTATCCTAAGACAATTCATTTGAATGTATCTCATGATGCACCAAAAATGGCGCATGTATTATTTCTGGCAGCACGCCACAACGCATGTCCATCGACATTTGTATTTTATCGAAGGAAGCTCAGTGTTTCCCCAGTTGGTGTGGGGACAGAATCTCTGTGAAACTGAGTAGCCTGCAGTCTGTACAGAGGCCTGCTCCTAACAGACATCCAACAAGGTAAGAAATATTTCCTGACGCCAACATGACAGCATGCATGTGATATAGCTCCGCCCCTATCACCACCCACAGGACCTGTTGAAATCTATAAAAGGAAAGCAATAGCAACCTCCTCCATTCTCCTTTTAGTCCTCAAGATCTACACCTGCAAGACGGTGATGTTGTGATAAGGCCCTACCTGCCAACTGAGTTGGAGTCCGTCTGGGTTCAGCCTCTCCAGGCGCAGTCCCACATCTCAGGTTGCTAATACACCAACAAGGTGGGGAGCCCCTTCTGGTGGTCTTTTGCTGCTGAGGAGTTCTCCAACTAGAGCAGACTTTCTCAACCAGGGTGCCCAGGGACCCAGGGGTGCCTTGAGGTTTCTTCAAGGGTGCCTTGGCAAAATGCCTAAACATTGACCAAAACGTATACAAGCCAGCGGGTGGAACAAGCCTGCCTTTTAGTTACACAAAGCCACAGGTTTTCATTGGGCACCATTACAACCTTCTAGCTGCCAGTATCCTGACAACCAATGACATCATCAGTTGATAAGGAGGATGTGAGCTGCCTGCACAGCATCCTAGTTTGACCCTCCCCTGCCCCTCTCCATCAGTGCTGGGGTCACATCAGCTCAGTGATGGAGATAAAACTGAGGGAGAGGAGAAACCATGGAATACTAGTCAGTACCAGTGTGCAAAAGTGTATTTGCTGTGGAAGAATAAATCATCTCTAACGTTGGGTGCCCTACATGTGTGGATGTTGCTGCATTATATAAAATTAGAATAGTTTTTCACATTTTAGAATGGGGTCCCCTTTTAAAATTATGGACAGTCTTGAGGCACCCCATTTTAGAATTATGTTCATAATTTTAAAGGGTGCCTCAGGACTGTCCATAATTTTAAAGGGTGCCTTGACTGAAAAAAGGTTGAGAAACATTGAACTAGAGACATCAGAACCTCATGTGGTGCGCCTGAGCTGGTGTTTGAATGCTAGTCCATGCTGCATGTGTTTCTCAGCACCCCTGAGCTGAATCTGGGTGCTGCCTTTTTCTTTTCTCCCACAGGTGTGCTACTCCTTTTTGTTTTTCCTCACTTGCCACTACCTTCGTTAGGTTTTGTCATTTTTCCATTTGTGGGAATAATTTGAGGTTTTTCTTTTTGTCAGCAGGTTTTTCCTTTCACATCTGGCACTCCCTGTGACCGGCATGCGTGCATGATCCAGTTTGGGTTTTGTGGCTGTTTCCAGTGTCATGGCCGTCTATGGCGTCCATGTTAGGGTTGCTACCTCATCCCTTTAAAATCGGACACATATTAATTACACAGGTTCTGAGGCTAATTTAATGGAGATAAGGCACTAAGTGAGTTTAATTACCACCTTAATCAGCCATGGAACCTGTGTAATTGATATGTGTTCGGTTTTAAAGGGATGAGGTGGCAACCCTAGGCCATGTGTACACTGTGCAGAGGGCCTCTTTTAGCAGCCATCTTTATTGCATGTCCAGGCATATATGAGGTGAGTTTACACTGGAAACACCTTCTGGTTTCCTTGCTTATGCTGCAGGTGAATGGGGGAGGAGGGTGGTGATTCAGGCACATGTCTGTGATCTGTCTGCCTTTTTCTCTGAGTCTCTTTCATCTTACTTCCTGCGCAGTGCTGACATCCTTGCTCCAACATGAGCCTTCTGCCACATAACTAAGAACTCCATGTGCTCAGGTAGGGACCATCAGTGTGGTAAGTAAGAAAAGGAAAAAGAGTGACTGAACGTGGCATTTGTCTTCTGGTGCAATCTAGCCTGCTCTCACTCTTCCTTAAGATCAAGTTAAAAGAGCATTGCCATGTCATGACAAGTCCGGTGTGGACAGTGGCTCATCCAGCCCCACAGGTCTCGCCCAGGATGTGCATGAAGTTCTCAGTGAGTGTCAGCATTCCTCCTCCTCTGAACGCTAATGGCGACAAAAGGGTAAGAAGTGCTTGGCCTGCGGCGATGACCTATAACCAGACTAACATGTTTGTGGATATTGCTGCTGAGACCTCTCAAAGGGCAATGGACTCTGAAATCCAGCAAATCATTGTCCTTTATGGGCAAGTAGTTAATGAGTCTCTAACAGAGCTCTCCAGCCACTTATGCCAGCAGACTCTGGCCACAACGTCAAGGACACAAGCCTGCAGATGAGTTCACTTAGCCATCCTAACCAAGGAGGCCCTGAGCCCATCACAGCCATCTTTATTCCAAGATCTGAGGGTGCCTTTACTAAAACCATTCACCCCTGCCTTACACCTTCACCAGAGGTAGAAGATTGATTGTCCTCCTTGAAGAGGCTAAGCAGGTTCGAGTGTCTCTTGGGTCCAGTCAGTCAGTCATTAGGGCCTGGAATGGGATGGCCAAGATGACTGCCTTTGAAGTCAGAACATACTTCATATTTTCAAGACACGGCCTTCCATGCTCCTTGATGAACGGAAGGGTGAAAAGACTAATTCAAGAGGAGTGGCAGGAGTGGTATGATGTTTGCATAAGTAAGCAGTGGCAAAATGTTACCCTAACCAGGAGGAATATGCTGCTTCTCTGTTCAAAAGAATGGCACTGCAACGTGCTAATGCACTTAACATGCATTACAGTAACACACACATTACAGCACTGCACCCCACTACAAAGGGTGTGGACACTACCATTATGCATTGCACACAGTGGGTTCCTGACTGCCATATAACTGTGTTTTATAGAGCAGCACACATCCTTGGAATGTTGAACACTATTTTTATTGGTCACAAGTTACATGTGCATCCCAATACTAAGCACCATTCTAAGAGTAATCAGTGGTTAGTTTGATCTTCCTCCTCATTAGAGGTCAAAGCTCCGGTGAGTTCTCTCTGCTAGTTTTGCCCACTCTACATTCCAGGACTCAAGCTCCTTTTGCCAGAATGGAAAACTTCAGGAGTGGATAGAAGGGTGTGCAAGGGCATCTTTCTGAAGGGCTCACAGCCATGGTCCTTTCCCTTCCCTTCCCTTCATCCTGTACAGGAGTCTTGTTGATGGAAGACCCCCCCCCCCCCCCGTCTAGTGTGGTGGGGGCCAGTGGGGCTGGTCTGTGAGTGCCTTCTACGGTAAAATTCTGTTACTTTTTTCTTCATCCCGACCAGAATAGCACATTCTGCTCAGGAAGTGGATGTCCTCTTTCAGTACATCAATATTATACGACTGCAGAGGGCAATGATTCTAAGTCCTCCCTCAGAGCGGTTTACAGGCTTTTATTCTTCTTGGTGTCTCCTATGAAGGAGACTGAAGACCGGTGTTAAATTTAAAAAAAAAAAATGAAGTCTCGGTGGGAGATGGACATTTCGAGTTTGTGTACCTTCCTTTTAAGGTTCTCCACCTCATTGGTGATTTTTTATGGAGGTCCTAATCTCTGTGTAGCCCCTCTGAGGAAATGGGGGTGCTTCGAATCTATCATTACTTCAGTCAGTCAGTATTCTACTTTTGACTCAGAGTCCAGTTGACCCACTAGTTCAAAAGAGGATTCTTCTGGCCAGCCTGAGAAATTTTTGGCTGAATAGGAGGTGTCAAGACAGTTGGAGAAGACTTAACTAGTCATTGATACAGAGGCCCAGTTCAATACTCAAGTGAGTACTTTTCTCCTCCTTCTTAGAATGAGCCAAGCAGTTGTTAGCTTCTCATTGCAGGGGCCTCAAACAATACTGGATTCTCTGGACATTCCAAAGAATTTTCTTTTTACAAAGCAGAAGGCAAACTTGAGCTGATTCAAAGTGCTTCTCAGATGCGCAAGAGCCTTTGGTGGTGGGTATGTCAGGGGACCCTCACTTGATCCTGTCAGGTAGGTTCATTATCCTGGACCATTGTCACTACTGTTGCTAGTGCTACAGGGTGGATCGCCACCTGCAGTAGTCTCAGAACACAAGACAGGTGGAGTTTACCTGTCAATAGGGTAGTCTCCAATGTACAGAAAATCCATGCAGTTGGGATAATCCTTTGTGCGCCAGCTCCTCGCATTCAAGCCTGACTGGGTATTCTGCATGAGGTCAACACAGCAGCAGGGTCATACATTCAGAAACAAGGGAGAACTGATTAAATGTTCCAATAGAAGTGTAACTATCATGTCCTTGACCAACTGTAATCTTCAGGGGCTATGGGTGGTGTACCTTCTGGATGCCCAGGATGTGGAAAGGGACTATTGTGCCAGGGGTTTTTTGGCTCCCAATGATTGGGTCTTTAATCAGAAGATCTTGCCCATATCTCTCCAAGTATGGGGCTTCCTCAGCTGTAACTAGTTGAATCTCCATCAATTCACAGGGTGCCTCAGTAGTTGGCAGAGGAAGTGGATGCTTTCTTTCACCCAAGAATTAGTCACCTAGCAGATGCCTTTTCTCTACTGCCTTTGGTCATGAAGTTCCAGGGGAGACTGTTTTCTGAGAGTCCCACTGTGATAGCAAGCATGCCTGATTGACCCGCTGGCCTTGAATTTACACTAGCCATGGAGCTTAGTCTGGACCAAGCACTTCAGCTACCAGTGT